TTACCTTTTTCATATTTGTCCTTTTTAATATTTAAATCAATGTTATTAGTTATTACTAAACTCGATTAAAAATAAAATTATTTTATTTTATTCCCATACCCAATTTTACACATTTCCTGTGAAATATTATTTTGTACTTAGTTTTGACTTTTGTTTTGAAGTCCATTTTCAATTTTCAATTTACAAAATATTTAAAACCTTAAAAATACGCCCACGAAAATTATACGCCCAGGGATAAATCCCGACTTCCCCCCCCCTAGATCCGGCCCTGATAATAGTACACTTTAGAAGTTTCAAGTACCCACGAATAATATTATACAATCACAACTAAATCACTAAAATAGTTATTCTAGGGTTTTTATTATGTAATTTCGTCCAAATTTGAACTTAAAATGACTATAAAAATAATCTGTGTTTTTGTATTTTTTAGATTTTTCGGTAACAGAATTAACTACTTACATGGAATCTTGTTTTAAATTTTCAACCCTTGGATATAAAAGTTGAACATTTTATAAAATTTTAGCTACAAAATAATTATTCAATTTTAAATTTTATAAATGTTGTCAAAATTCGATCTTTAAATGCTTATAAAAAAAAACTGTGACTAAGGATTTTTAATATTTTTCATCTGCCTTTGAAACAATATAGTAAAAGCCTTGTATTAAATTTTCAAGTATTTTTACTCAACAAATAAATTGTTATTGATATTCATAAAAAAAAAACTAATAAAATTTGAAACTAAAAATGTCTCTAAACAGTTCAAAATAAATCAAATGGTACTGTAGGGGTTACTTAATTGTATTTATTATTAGAAATAGTTATCTATAAATGTTGAAAAATAATCAAAACTTTAATTACCTACCTTTCCTGTATACAAATTATAAACACTTTTGCTGTTTTGGTTCTATGCGCCTCAGCCTTCAATTATAATAGATTTTTATGGTAAAATAGAAAATCTTTTATTCTGATTAGGGTACACAATTTAGGCCAGTAAAAAATTGTATTTAATTAAACAATTTATAATAGAAAAAATGAAAAAGTAAATATTTAAAATCAAATCTTTTTTTTAAACATAAACAAATGTATAACTATCTTGGTAAATATTATAATATATAATATTATAAACTATATATTAACATGATTTTTAATATACAGATATAATATACGTATCGTACGTTGATTGATAATCTTATAACAGTTATTGTGTAGGTATCAGAAATTTTAACGAAAACACAGCATCAATAAATGCCTAGGTATAGTTACTAGTTACATTTTCACTCAGAATCTTAATAATTATAGTATATTAGTTGTATATGCTTGCAGTATAGGTATGCTAATGCCAGTATACCAGTATATACTTAGTATACTAATACGAATCTATTCATAATCTTACCGAATTAACTTTATTTTTTTTTTTCATTAATTCCAACGTCATCACTACAACATCATAAACAAATAATGTGAAATAAAAATGTTTTCTAAACTTCTATCACCAAGCATTAAATAAAGAACTAAAGAAACTAAAATTGTACGCCCGGGGATCAATCCCCGGCTTCACCCCCCTAGTTCCACCACTGAGTATCAGATATATTATATACTTATCTATGGTATTAAAAAAATTGACCTATAATAATTTCCAAATTAATCATATCACAATATCCATTAGGTACTTATAACGCGTTGTACATCAACAACAAACCATGATACTATCATAGATATAATATAATAATCAGCGCCGGATCATAGCTTTTTAACACCCGGAGAAAATTAAAAAAATACGCCCATCTCAGGGAGATGACCAGAATTAGTATTTTTTTTACGAAAAATCAAGCACACTCACACAGTATGGCGAGGAACTGAGGACCAACATTTACAAAATCTTTCCAAATATACTGTAGGACCAATCATTTATTTACCACAAATAATTTGAACGATTTTAACTTAAAAATGAAACATTTTAAATTTTAAACTATTCACGTAATATAGTTTTAGAAGCACTTCTTAATGGTGTATTTAAAGCTAAAATCTGTGGTCAATATTTCTAAGTTCCAGGTTTAGAATAAATAATATTGATAATAATAACATGTATGAATTATTTATTAACAAATCTAAATTAGGTATCCATTGCTTACTTTTAAGGTAGGACGCTTTATGTAAAAGAACAATATTTAATTTACAACATACCTATCAATATTATACATTTTCATTTTTAATATTTATTACAATCAAAACTTAATAATATGTACCTAGGTATACGGAATAAATACAAAGAAACAAAAATGTACTGAAAATATTGTAATATAATGATTATAACACGACAAAGAAATATTTATCATGGATTATCACTTACGGATTGAATGTACCTATATACTAAAATAACTACATTCTACATTCTACATTTTAAAAATTTCCAGAATAATAAGGACCTGGTTATCTGTTTGACATCTTGAACTATAAAAATAAATTAGACAAAAAACACAGTTTATAATAAAAAAAAAACGAACCAAAAAGAATATAAATTTCCTTTTAAATTATTTTAATATAATATGTAAAACATAATATTCAATCTGTCTTGGGCTACAATCAATAGGATAGTATTTTTGTTTTAATTATTTAAATATGTTGTACTTTTGTAGTATCAAGTTTATCAAGTAAATTAATAGTTGTATACTTGTACCTATTTAAAAAGTAAACACAAATGACAAATTATATTCCATTTTGTGTTCTGTTACATTTATCTAGTGAGTAGTGGCCATGGTGATATTTATAAAAAAAGTTCAGTTTATAAAACGGCATTACTTAATTGTTAAATTAAATACAAAGACTTTTATAAGCCTAGGTACGAACATGTAATTTAATAAATAATCTGAAAACAATTAAATCATTAGTACCTAAGTAACATTTTATGTAGTACATAATTTTATGTAGTACCTACCTATTTGGAAAAATATATAGTTGTTAATTTAAAACCACATAACAATGAATTACAATTAATAGTGCGATTTTTAAGATTAAGGTTTTAAACAACTAACTAAATAATATTATAATATTTGCAAGAAAATGATGTAATTTACCATACTTTATTATGTCACTAATCGGAGAGTACATTAATCTATTTATGATAGATTAAGGCATGTACACTCCCGCTGACAGTAAATTGCGGACGGGTTTTATTTATTTCATATTTTTATCTATTTTTTACCTTTTTCATATTTGTCCTTTTAATTTTTAAATCAATGTTATTAGTTATTACTAATCTCGATTAAAAATAAAATTATTTTATTTTATTCCCATACCCAATATTACACATTTCCTGTGAAATATTATTTTGTACTTAGTTTTGACTTTTGTTTTGAAGTCCATTTTCAATTTTCAATTTACAAAATATTTAAAACCTTAAAAATACGCCCATGAAAATTATACGCCCGGGGATAAATCCCCGCCTTCCCCCTCTAGATCCGGCCCTGCATACGTGTACTGTACACAATGTCAATTATATTACCTATATCATATTTTATAATATAATAATTTATTATTTTACACTTTATTTTTTTTTCGTAACGATTTGGGTTCTAACTAATAGCCTAAGGAGGGGCTAAATAGAAGAATTGGGGGGGCTAAGCTCTTCTAGGTACCTAGTAGTTACGCCGATGGCTCATGTTGGTGATATTATCTGTGCACGAACATGCTGCCGACAAAATCGCGGTATGCCCTACGAACAAGTGTACCTCAAAAATGCTACGCCACCTACACGGCCCACGGTAGGCCGTACCAAAAATTATATCTACCCAATTTTCAATAATTATAAGCACCCCCTCACCTCTAAATCCACCCCAACCTGTTCCTCCGCGAATTGGTACATGAATAATAATAATGTTATAATAAATGACATTACCTACGCTTATCCACTGAGATGGATAAGATATACTTAATAAAATAATTTAAGTTAATCAATAATAATTTATTATGAACGAAAATAATCTTAACTACACGTATACACGTCCATCGTACGTAAAAATGAAATGTTTTGCCCTTCGACGGTCGGGGAAACGGGATTCGAGACGGCCATGGATTATTACCTCTGGGGACGGCTCGTTTTTTGTATCAATATGGTGAGAACGGCCAGTCAGCGCTTCGGTATTATCTTATCTATCTCAGTGCGCTTGTCATCGTATCTGTGGTGATAACGAGGCTTATCAGCACTTACGTTCGGCTTTCGGCAGTATCGACTCACAGATGTAGTGTGATCATGATTCATGATATAGAAGTTAGTATGGATTGAGGCGTCCGTGTGTCGACTACTCGCGCTCTTACGATATTGTATTCGTGATAATTATTTTAGATTGTACCTATTCGTTTTTATATTACATCGCGTACGATCTCTGCTATATTTTATGTTCCTCGTGTTGACTAACGATCTCGTACCGTCGTTCTCTTTTCGCATCTCGATCGAATCGCCGACATACACCTGTACCGCCGTGACTCGCCCGACGCACACCTGTACCGCGTTTTTTATACCTACGCATCATTGCGCGCTGTTTTAACTGTTTGCCATTTTGCTGCGTTTTAATAAACTGTTTTCGACGTCCGTACCGAATCGAGTTTGTCTTTCGTTCTAAACCCGCCTAACTCGTGTATCCTTCTGACGAGGAGTCAGGATCGTATTTGCGCAAGTGTGGTCGCGTCAGGTCAACTTCCTACACCTCGGTGCTTCAAGTACCTAATACCTATATTTCCATACTACATTCGAAAAATAATTGCTTGCGATTGGCCGACGCGTCTCGACTACTCGATCCGTCAATGTGCTTCAAAAATTTAATAATTTTAAGCAGGTCAGCGTAATCAAGGCATCTATCTTCCAGGTGAGAATAACGATCAACAACAAAACAATTTCATTATTAATTTATCATTCATTCCACTGTCATCGAATTCCATACAGGTGACGAATAATGTTTTTAGTATCGTTTATAGGTGCAGTTATAAATCTAGTTCTCAGAAATATGTCCAAAAAACCATCAAATCCGTTATATGCCAATGTTTCTGGAGTAAAGTACAAGAGGGAAGAGCCGACTACACGGAATCAACCCACCTACTGCAATACAGTAACAAATAAAATGCCACAACCTTCCCAAGGCATTTATAGCAATGTGAACGACCATGAGAAATCCAACCACATGTATTCGAACATTGCCAAAACAGGAAGACCGACTTATGAAAATACTCAGTATCCATTATATGACAATCTAAAACCATTAGGTTTGTTATTATTAATTATTGATACATTTTTTAAATTTAATTTAGATTATTTATTATATTTATTTAAAATAGGTGAAGATAACATACGCAGCGGTCCACGTCCAGTAAGATCTAGTTACTCTGAACTTCTAAAGGCAGTTAGTTACAAAGATGGTGCAAAATATTATGATAATTCTTCTTCTCAGGTGAATAGACAGTAACATAGATATCACTATGTAACGGGGTTGGGAAACCTGTTATATTTAGATAATTCAGTGAGGGTTTTCAGAGCCCTATGAATTATATTTTAACCGTAACTCTGGAGCTTCAGGAATAAATTAATATATTTATTTATATTTTCTTACAACTGAAACATAATTTATGTTACATATATGACATAATAATCTATATATAATCTAACACTTTTCAACATATTTCTTTATTTTCTAATATAAACTAATACATTATATTTTTTTCATATACTATTTTATATTGAACACATTTTTTCTCATTTCTTTATTTTCTAATATTGTAACTAATACATTTTTTTCTTCATATATTCTTTCATATTAAGATCTTTATTTTCTCATACACACTTATAATAATTAATACTTTTTTTCCAATATATAACTTCACTTGTATTACTTACTTCTTTGTATTGTAGGCCATTTGATTTCTTTACCTTTACAGATGATATATTTGTATATATTTTTCCAATATCCAAATTACAAATAATATCACTGTCCCTTCCTGAATTTTGAGTAATACAATCTCTAAATTTCTTGATCCAACATACGTGTTTTTAATCATTAGGTAACCAATTTTGAATCCCTTTTTATGTCGACTAGGTAACCTAAATTTTGAAGTATTTTATATGGCCCCTGATATCTGGGAATTAAATTTTTGTTTTTTTAGTTCTGCTTTTTTAACTAATACCATTTCTCTCTCTTTAATTATTATATATATTTGTATGTACTATTGTGTGTACTTTCTGTTCCATTGATAGATCTGGGTTTATATTAAATTATGTTGTACTAACTATTTCGGAGTCTCTTATATCCTCTTGAAACAGATGCGCTATAGAATACCTTTCTTTTTCAGCTTCCAATTTTTGATAATTATACCTAACTAGTTATTCGATGCTTATTTTGCCTATGTTTGCTTTACTTAGTTTCTGACTTGAATAATGTTGACAAATTTCAGTTTTGTTTTCATAACAAACAGATTTGGCATTATTTTTGCTATCGCTTGATTTTTTCCCATTCACTATTGTTTGGAATACGTTACAATTATTAGATGCTTCCTCATCAAATTTGCTATAACCCATACGATCAGTGTTTGAAAAAAATTGTTATTATACCCACCAACATCCTGATTATAATTATTCTTTGAATGGCTTGTGTTGTGCAACCAGTTACCATAACCATTCTCCCGTCATAAGCCACTAAGCAGTAACTCCAAGAATCGTAATGTTCACGAAACAATAAAACAGTTTACAACACTAAATTAGTCCGTAGAATAAAAATAATAATTTTTTAAACATTAAAGAGATTTTATATTATTTTATTTTTCATGAGGAATCTACTGAACACAAAAAAAAAGGTTTTTTATACATTTTTATGGGTTTTAATGGACTTACTGCTTATTGGATTATATTAGTCAGAAGATGAAAAGCAGTAAGTACACATTTATTTGGAGTTACTGCCTAATGGCTTCTGATATCATTGGCATGTGTTTGTAAAGTGATGTTTATGTGTTCTAGAATTATACATCTTATTTAATTAAGTTGTGATCACATGTATATTTCATTATTTTAATATTTGATTAACTAATAAAATCAAATATATTTATTATTAAAACCTACATGTGGTAACATCTCATGTAAATATCTTCAATTTTAAAATAACTTTATGAACACATTTTCATATAATATTCCAATGATATAAAAAGCATTGATTCCTCCTGAACCTGTAATTTTTGTAAAGGGGCAAGAAATGTAGGACTGCCTATTTATTTATTTTTGGTGCCAATGATAGTCAGTCCAAAATAATATCTGCTTCCTGACCATGGTTTCTCTTTTTACAGCCCTATAAGATATATATATATTTTATTTACATATTCAATTAATACTATCGCTTTGGTATGCTGAAGTATAACATTTTAATAAGAAATTACAAAATAAAAAATAAGTAATAACAAATAAAAATTTACATTTATTTCTTCAAAATAACCAAATAAAATAGGTATAGGTATATATATATAAAATTTGGATACTTAACTATAACATAATATTATGTAGGTAACTGTCTTGTTAGTCCTTGAAAATTATAAAGAAACAAAATTAAAATGTCAAACATAAGACATATTATTAACATGCTATCACAAAATAATAATACTAAGTAGGTCTACCAAATAGATACTTATAAACTTCATGTTACTATTATAATTATCGTGTTAGTCCTCAGAATATTCATACAAATCGATAGCATCCTCAGAAATTGGAAAATCCAATCAAAATTGCCTTCTGTTTTTTGGCATCATGGGAAGCAAGATTTTTATGATGCTTTCTTTCTTGGATGGAGGAATACCATTTTTTGAGATTTTTGGTGATGGCTTTATTATACCATTTTTTAACACAGGTTGTTTTAAGAAATCAAGTTGTCTTAAAGGACAAACTTCATCGTAAGTTTCTGAGTACATTAAGTAATTTTGCCCTCTTACAGCTTTAATATGTACTATATTATTGAGCAAAGGTCGATATACTTGTTTATATATTTGTAAGTAGAGCTTTCCGATTTCCAATCTAAAAAATGATGTATCTCCATTGTTTTAGTGTATGTATGGCTACTATTTGCATCTTTTACACACTTCAGAAAGTCATCAAAATCATAAATTTTACCCATACGTTTCATCGATAATTCAACTTGGTGATAGAAGTGGTCGGCTGACATGAAAGAATGGCCAGGTTGAAAATAGTGTAAATTGATTTCATTTGTTGAAATTTCTTCTGAATTAATTATATATACTAAAAAAGTCATAAGACACCAGTTTTTGTTTTGAGCACAACAATTATCCATCCATATTGTGACATTGTCAGTATCTTTATTGAATAAAAGAAATTCATAGAAGCAACTAACCAAGTCTTCTTGCTTTCGACCAGAAATACCCTCATGCCATAATGTTGCAAAAGGCTTAATTTCACTTCTTGGACTCAATGGTACAAAACTTTCATTAAATACGATTATTCTTTTTGTAAAAATAGCAGCTTTAAAGTTGTCCATATGAGGCAGCATGATCACTTTTTGCAAATCCACAGAAACAAATAACTCATTTGTATTTTTTAGATTTTGAATGTGTTTCATATTTGATGTGAGGGGCTAAATACTTTTCATGGTGTACTTCATATATTTCACATGTTTTGCAATTGAATTTTTAAAAAAACGATGTTTTCTCTTTAACCCATGTTTTGTCAATTTTTCCAAAACTTCTTCATTACATGTGTCACCTCCACTATGTCCTTCCACCTGTCCATCTTCTATAATATTACATATTTCACCTCCACTATGTTCTTCCACATGTAAATCTTCTATATTACATATTATATCACCTCTACTATGTTCTTCAATCTGTCCATCGTCTACATTACATGCGTCACCTTCACTGTGTTCTTCCAACTGTCCATCTCCTACATTAAATGTGTCACCTTCACTAAAATGTTCTTCCACCTGTTCATTTCCTACACTCAGATCATTCAAGTTTTCATCCTAAAATAATGAAAAGTTAACATGATAAAGTTATAAGTAGCGATGATAATACGTTCATATGCAAATTCAATTTATATGACACATACACTAGACTGTGCATCATACATTGACTATATTGTATATGAACATTAATGTAGTAATTTGTTAAATAATATTTTATTATTTACTGTTTAATATAATATCATTAATTAATAGAATTTTATTGTAATTTAAAAATTAATAATTATTTTGGGGTCATTCTGTACGGTAGGCCTATAATAAGTAAAATTCAATTCAGATGAGTTACTATATTGAATTTTTTTGACATTTACTCTATCTATAGATTTTAAATAATCTGTACATAATCCTTGGGCTTCAGAAACATTTTGAAGTTCATGTAAATCAGTCTAAAACAAAATAGTTGGGTATTTATAAAATATACTAACAAGCTAATAAGTAGGTATTTGCATTCTTATTATTACATTTTTACTATGGTAGTTTTCTTCAAAATCGGCTTCATTTTCTGTAGTTCGGATCGAGTATATAATTTTTGTCAGGCACTGAGTTCAGGAATATAGTTTTTATGTCATTCTTAATTGAATTGAGATCATTTGATAACTATATTAACAAAAATAAATTCATTAAATTAAGTATCATTGAATAACTTTATTAACTCAATAAAAAATAAAAGTAGGTAAAAACATTCAGTAAGTATTGTTTAAATTTAAATTTACTTACATAATTATTACAATTATAAGTAAAACTACTATTACTGTAATCACATAGGCGTGGCTGAGCTAAAGACTCTCCTCCTTCTACATCCTGAGAAATTTTGAGAGTGTTTGAAAGAATTTCCACATGATTTAAATATTGATGTGAATTTCTCTTCTAATGTATAAAATATAATTATATCAGGTAATTAAATGATAATTTCTTTGACTAATTCTAATAATGTTTAGAATTATATGGTTATAATTATAATCTTCTTACATTTTATTAATCTATTACAATTAAATTTGTAATTTATTAAACAAAATAATAATCTACAAGTCATCTTAAACAATAAATAGTAACCAACATACCTGTTTATTAAGATGATTTTCTCGTGTATTCAATACAGGTTTTTTGGAAACCATTTGAACCATTTTTTTTTTTGATCTGCGTACGTGACGCGTACACAAAATATGTAGTACTTTTAATATAATATGATGTTTATAGTGACTTATTACACAGCAAATACGGCTTAAATGTGTTTTTTTTTAAATTGTGATTATATTATTCCTTATCAAGTTATCAGTAGTATTATACATAACATTATAAATGTTAATTCTATTTTGGGACCAACGTTAAGTTTACACCAATAATTTGGATTTTGTTGGAGATACTGCTTTCTGAATACAATGATTACTAGGGAAAAAAGCAGTAACTCCAGGGTAACCCCTGGAGTTACTGCTTTTTGTTCTAATATTTGGACATACTGCTTATTTGCTTCTTATCTTAATTCTTATCTTGTTATGTTCTGATCAATTTATATGGATTTCTAATAAAAAAAAACCTTAAATTTTATTACGGGAATCGATAGAGAATTAAAATATCTATCGATAGACACCAAAAACTCGATTTTGACAAAAGTGAAGTTACTGCTTAGTGGCTTATGACGGCAACATTATTGTTTGAATAATTATTGTAATTTCTAAAATGTAAGTTTGGTTAAAAATTACCATTCATATTTCTATAGTCAGCAGTTTCAAAGATATGATTATCGCTTGGTTCAGTTTGGTATAGTAATCGGACTTATTAAGCAATTTGATGATAATTTTCAAAGTATTTACTTCCTCAGTAAGTTTTTTCATTGCAACAATTAATAACTTAATAACTTCACCAACTCATATCTTTCCACATTAGCCATTATCTTATCTTTTATGTTATTTTCTAAAAATCCAATTTTTTTCATATACTTCCTCAGGCAATCCCTTTAATATTTTTTCACAAATCTCTCCCTCTGTCATATTCCTTTTGAATTTATAGCATAATTGAGTCATATTTATTATATAATCTTTAAGTGTTTCCCCCTCTTTTAATCTTCTTTGATTTATTCGAGCTCTCAAAAGATGTTTTTTTTCCTATTAAGGTGAAATTTTCTAATAATTGATACTTTAAAATGCGCCATGTAAGAATTTGATACCTTATTTTTAAAATATTAACAAAACTTTCCGCTAAATCAGTGAAGTATTAACAGTAGTATTATTGTTCTTTCTGTATCTCCCCATCCATTCACTATCACTATTATTTAAAATTTTTCAATATAACTGTCCGTCCTCCGAAGATTTACCCCAAAATATTTTGGCTAAAGAATAATTCTTTTAAAATCCATGATTTTTTTTTTTTACTCACTTGGTTAACTGATTTGGTAGTATTATATTAATCTATGCAAAATGTTCAATATTTATTTCTCATTCAATAAAACCTACCTACCGTGTTCATTAAAATTAAAATTATACTTTTTATAATTTAAGCTCCTTTTTTTATAACATTTTACTAAATTATATTAAATCGCTCACCTAATATTACTTAATCAAATTAATCCTTTACTTACAATAATTCTCCAAAGTCTTTAAAATAGTACCTATAACCTTGATTTCTATTTACCAACGTATTATTGTTCGGTATGAATTTACCTAAATAACGTTAACAGAACTAATATAATATGTACCTATATACAATAGCTTCCACCTGATTATATTCTTTCTACCAGTAATAATACTAATCTTTTACTTAACAATAATTTTTAAAAACTTTTAAACAGTACCTATAAGCTATACCTTGATCTCTACTTACCAAAGTATTACTATATACTATAACTTTATTTGCTTAAATCTTAGTAAATTATACCACATTTTTCACATCATTATTAATCAAACAAATCCATTAATTCAAATTAATTCTCCAAAAACTTTAACATGTACCTATAACCTTGATCTCTATTTTATAAAAGTATATACAACTACTTTACCTACCTACCACTAACAAAACCAAATCATGTGTATGTATATGATATCTTCCACCCAATATCACTTAATATATGCTTATTGTGCTATAATAAAATCAACACTCAAACCTAATATTTTACCTAGTTGCAGATACGGAGCCTCAACCAAAATGTAACTGGTTGGGAAAACTGTTATATTTAGATAATTCAGTGATGGTTTTCAGAGCCCTATGAATTATATTTTAACCTTAACTCGGGAGCTTCAGGGAAGATAGATCAAATATTAAGTTCTCGTTATCATGTTTTTATTATTACACAATACTTATTAATTATATACACAATGCTTATTACATCCTAAATACTTATTAACTATAGAAATATCGAAAGACTTACTAAGGGCCAGTTGCACCGTCTATGATTAAACTATGATTAAGCTTAATCATCTGATAACAGATATTTAAATGGGCAAATTCGACCGATTAAACTCTGATTAACCATAATCATAGACTGTACAACTTCCCCTAGTAGTGTTGTCATCCGGAGTTTGTTGGCTTGCTAACAATAATTGTGTATGTGTGTGTGTGTGTGTGTGTGTGTGTGTATATATGTGTACTCGGATAACTATCCTTTGTATATAAGCTTTCTTCCTTATTATTATTTATATCTGTATTTATACTTAACAGTACATAATGTAACGGTGTCACACATATTTGATCCTCTACAACTTCATTAATTATTTGTATTTTTATTGTTACTTCTCTTAGGCATCAAAAATGTACGAATCAATCTATGAGCCTATTAATGCTGTCCGTCCACCTAGTGAGTTATCATCTACATATTCAATGAGCAGTCGTTCACAGTCCATTACTACTCGTGAACATGAAACCGAAGTTGATTCTTTAACTGATCTCCTTCTAAATTCAATGTATGTCAATGATGGCAAAAAAAGTTTGAACTGTAATGCAAGTTCTTTAGGTTAAGTATTTTTTTATAATCCATAATATTATTATTTACATTTAAGAGTTAATAATTTCAATTATTAACAATAATAATCATTTTATCATATATATTTAGGGTATTGTACCAAATGCAATAAAAAGGTAATGGAAGATGGACTTGGGTGTAGAGCAATGGGTAATATTTATCATATAAAATGTTTTACCTGTACCCATTGTGGAGGTCAATTGGAAGGAAAACCATTTTATCACATTGATAACAAACCATACTGCGAAGAGGGTTATTTTGTAAGTATTCATTTGATTTTAACCATAGACCTATAAAGATCTTTATAGGTCTATATCATAACATATACAGTTAACATTATATTATTAGTTACTATCACAGATATAAAATACTAGATGGCTAACAAGACATTGAACATTGAAGTTATCCGCCATATGCGTGTAGGTCAATACGACATGATAACAATCTGATGGTCAAAATCACGGATATATCTTACGATGGAAATATTGAATAAGGATAATAAACATTAATTAACAAGAAAATTATAAGTTATATAATAATTAGTAAGTCGAAACTCGAAAGCCAGAATAGTTTTTTTCAGACTTTCAGACTTTAGTTATCAATATATCCGATATTGTGTTATCACATAAAAATGTGAACATTGCCGTTTTGGCAAATGGCGACACAACTTCAAGACATTGTATAGCTGTTGTATAGAAGTCGGCTATCTAGTTGCTTATATCTGTGGTTATTACAGTTTTTAATATAATACTATATCATGTAATCTTATAATATTTTATATTAATTTAACATTGAGTAATAAAATAACTTACAAAACCTTTAAATAGGTACTTAAAAGTTTATTATTTTCAACTTGTTAAGTATAATAAATAACTGTGCTAACATTTTTTTTCACTGTTTCCTAGTATAAATTATACACTTGTAAATAAATAAATTATGGGGATATTTTTTAACAAAAAATGCTATTAGATAATGATTTCAAACTATTTTTATGAGTCAATTCAGCCATTCAGCATTCATAATATTTTTAGTATTATTATAACGATTAGGTATTGCACACAAGGCACCTATGTTTTTATACCTAAATAAACTGTTAATAATCATCAAATGTATGTATTGAAACAAATTAATATTTGTAATGTAATTTACAAAATTTCCTGCATTCTTTTCATGATAATTTTTTTCCTTGATGTTTTAAATTTACCATTCTTTAGTTTCATGAAAAATAATATTTTTTATTTACTGGTATTAATGTATTATTATTATATCTAAGTAGAATGTATTATAATGCTATTAAAATGTAATAATTGTATTTGATAGGAATTAAAATAATTATTTTCATATTTACTTTGTATTATTTCAGCAAACACTAAAAAAATGTTCAGTTTGTCAATTACCAATTTTGGATATAATCCTGAGGGCCACAGGATGCTCATATCATCCTAACTGTTTCCGATGTATTGTATGCTCTACATTATTGGATGGTATACCCTTCACCATCGATGCAGCAAATCAAATTTATTGTATTGATGACTTTCACAAGTAAGGCATCTTGTATGCTATGCAGGCATAAATAATAAATTATCAAAATTATAAATATAACTGAATATTCAATAAGTGGGCTGATAATTTGGTTCTTGATATTGTTTGACCAATTCAAGAAAAATGTGTAAAAGTAATAGTAGTAAATATGTTAAATTGTTGTATTTTATAATAATTATTGACTATGATTTGAAAAATCAATATCATTTACTATTAATATTATTAAGATCAAAAAACATACATATTATGCTATAACTGGTTTTATAAAATATAGCCAATTAATATGTAATGTTTATTATAAAATGTTACTACTAGATTAAAACATTTGATAGTATGAATATTTTCATATTGTCATAATTTTCTATGTGAAAATAAATTAGTTAAATAGTACCTAATTGTGAAGATGTTAAATATTTATTACTGTTACTTTGAAGTACATGCATAATATAAACATTAAAAAATATTTGATGTTACTATAAACACAATTTTTGTTTATAGTAAATTTGCTCCAAAATGCAGTGTATGCAAATTCCCTATTATACCAGAGGTTGGCCAAGATGAAACACTAAGATTTGTTGCATTGGACCGAAGCTTCCATGTGCAATGTTATAGATGTGAAGTCAGTTAAAAAAATATCTTACATTATTTTTGATTCAATTTTATGTTATTTTCTATAATTTTGTTAACTTATTTTTCTAGGATTGTGATACTTTATTAGGATCAGAAGCTGAAGGTAAAGGATGTTATCCATTAGATGACCATGTATTGTGCAAAAGTTGTAATGCTAAAAGAGTTCAAGCTTTAACATCAACCATGATGACCGAGTTTTAAGTAACGTTATTTTCTATTCCAAATAAGAGCGCATATAAAAACCATTCAAATTTACTCATACTACTGTTACATTAATACTTTTATATTTTAAGATTGTTCAAATTGTTGACATTCTTTGCTAGTCTGTTATAACTAGAGACCAGATTTTTATGTTTTTACACATATTTTACTGAGAGTATGCAGCTCCAATTGGATAAGTTTTCTCGACAATTAATTTACCTAATAACTGATATAGAACATTTTTTAGCTCATAAAAGAGAATATTTTAAAGTTATTATTTTAATTGTTTCATAATCAAATGCAAACCGTACACTGATATTTTAATTTTTTTTTTTTAAACTAGAATTGTATCAGCGTGTCACGATAATTATACAATAATATGACACTCAGTGAACTATATGCAATTATTTCTTATTTTTTATTTTTTAATATTATTTTTTGAATTCATAAGTTTATATTAGGTACAACAGTTAAATATAGGTACACCAGTATGTCAGTATATTACCATATTATAGATTTGTTTTTTTGTGTTAATAAATTTTAGTGAAAAAGAATATTTTTTCATATAAAAGATTATTTTGATGAAATTATAGAGCATAGAAGCATCTTATTTTCAAGACTTTAAGCGCATATAAAGCCGGTCTCTAATTATAACTGATAGTAATTTTGTAATATCAAGGGGGGCCACCATTGGGTGACTTCCCCTCCCGTCAATCAAACCACATCCCATTTACTTATTGCAGTGATTTTAAAACTGGGTGCCTCGGCACACTGGTGTGCCGCGAGCAGTCACTGAGTGTGCTACGGTCTTTAAAAAGTTCAACTATTCGTCCAAGAATAAAATTATAAAAATATAATTAATAAAAATTTGTTAACCCGTCAAGTATACATTTCTAATTAAATGTACTTATATAATTATAATTCAAAGCAATTTTGTTTATCTAATTATTTAGTGCAACAAAAATGGTCAGTGTGCCGTGAAATTTTTTTGAGGAGCACGTTGTGCCCCGTTCAATAAAAGTTTGAAGACCACTCAAAGTAGACCCAACTTAGATGATCCAGGCGAGATTCCATTTGAGAAAAACACAGAACCATTACCACCCCCAACACTTCCTTCAGGCAACACTCAAGTAAATACAATTACACCAACCATAGGCATTTAGGTAAATGTTAATAACCAGTGTATTCTCAAACGACCTACTTGGTTAAAAGATTATGTACCATAAGTCATTATTAGAGTTAGGATGTTGATGACTTTTGCATTTTTTTCCCTTTTATTCTGTACAATGCTATCCTAGCTAAAAGTTTCATGCTCCCTTGATGCAGAATATTCTAATTTTATTTTGCATTTTTTTGCATTTTTTGCATTTTTAGCTATAAATACATTTTTTTTTGTTTTTTTAACGTCATTTTTCAACATTTTTAATTTTTCATCTCTTAGGGCATTTTTTGTACTTTTTAAACAATGTGGGGCATTTTTCACAAATTATAGATTTTATGGCAAATGTTACACCCAAGTTTGGAAACAAATTTAATTGATTTAAAATCTAACTTTGGATTTGGACTATTAGTAAAAAATAATTTTAATATTATTAGTCCAAGGCTCGGAACTTTATGCGCTAAAAAGTACTCAAATATGCGCACAAATATGCATCAAAAAACATCATAATATGCGGTAAAATATGCAGTAAAAATTTGAAAAATATGCAATTTATTGAATAAAAAATAAATATTTTACACAAAGTTTGAAAATTAAAATTAAGTACATGAGAAAATAAAATTAAAAAAAAATAAACTTTTTGCACACTTGCTTGTATTTCTGTCTGCCTATATGGATACTGTACGTCACATGTACCATTTTTGAATATAATGCATTAAGTGATTTCCCACCCTTAACCATATAAGGCGATGCATCCGATAGAAATAATAACACGTCATCGTGTTTGCTTCCGTCAGGCCACAAAATACTGAGCAATTTGTCGAAAAATTTGCATACGGTAGAGTGGTTTGTTTTTTCTAATGCGTCGGTATTTAATAAGAATATATCACCTGCTCTATCTTCTTCTAGAGTTCCTATTATGGCGTTTGCAATTTGTCTTCCCTCAGCGTCAGTCGTTTCATCGATCGATATCCAAATTTTTTTTAAAAACACGTTGTCTTATGTTTTTCATCATTTCCTCGTAACAATCATCAAGATAAAACTTTCTAAGTGTCGATTCAGTGGGGACATCTTTTTGTGTGTATAACTGTAAGAATTTACGAAACTCTGTATTTTGTAACTTGTTAAGCGGAATATTAGCTGCTATAAAAGCTTTGCATAAATCCATATTGAAAGTCGATTTTTTCGAAGTTAGATTAGTTAATAGCTGTTGGCTGTTGGCTGTTTTTTGATTTATATTACGTTCTACAGCACGACGATGTTTTTCTGTTTTTATGTGCTGTGTAATACTAGATCGTCTTTCGGGATCCACTTTCATTTCGCAAAGTTTGCAAAATAGAACTACATTATCAATAGATAACACATCTTCACCGAACTCAAAGCTTAAAGATTTAAGGCGCCGAGACAATGATTGCTTATCTTTAGGCATTGTTAAATCAGAAATATTAAAAAAATTATCACTGCGACACGCGACGGGCTTAATACTGACGACTGACTAATGTGCACTCGCAGTTCGCACTATACAATGAAACCGGTACGCACGTAGACCGTAGTATTACAACGAACAGAATTAATATGGTGTATAAATACTGATAATGACCTAATAGTTAAACATAATTGTTTACAAATTTCCTAGGATTATACAATTTATTTACATCATGGTACAAAATATATGAATGCCGTGTTAAATTTGGATAAAAATAAATACGGGCCGGCCGGTCGGCAGAAACTATTTCGAGTTCTCGGTACTAGAGATTATATAATATTATTGTTAAATGCATTGGATTATTGGAAGCAATATAAGAATATCCGACGACGTATTTTTCGATGAATTTATTTTGTAGAATATCTAATTTTATTTTGTTAACTAAAATTAAATTGTGTAAATGCAAGAAAAAAATGAAATTTCATTAAATCTTTGTAATATGCATAAAAATGTTCTAAAACCTAAAATATGCTAATTCGTACAAAAAATAACGAAATATGCAAAATTATGCAATAAAAATGTTTGTATTTGAAATATACATACTATGGATCAAAATTGTATCGAACCAGAAGTTCAATATGCACTTTCAAAACAAATATGAAAATGCCTAAAGTTCCGAGCCTTGAATTTATTACTAATAAATTTGTAATGATTTTGTTGTGATTACATTTATCACGTTCCGATAAGATTTACTCTTTGAGTGTTATATATTGATGAAACGAGTGCTCTTTCAGACATACGCCGATCATACACGCTTATCGAGTATTATATTTATAAATGTATGGAATAAATCCGATAAACAAGATTAAATTGACATAGACATTAGACCTATTGATTGAAGTGCTTATAATTGCAGTAAAAGGAACTATTGTCAGTAGTATTTTTTGTTATTTATATTAATATTGAAATTTATTTATAAATTATTTAAATGCTTCTACTATTACACCCATTATTATACCCATGTCTCTAATAAAAATTATTATTCATAAATAAGTTTTTTTACTTACTTAATTAGTATTTTAGATAATTTTTTGAAGTTTTTAGGGCTTTTTTGCATTTTTTTAGGGCATTTTTGTGTGTTTCTTAGGTCATCAACATCCTAACTCTAGTCATTATGTATCATTTTTTTTTTTTAAGGCCGATAAGTGTTATACTCGATAAATAATAAAAAAATAAGAATTATATTATTATATTCATTTCTCAATGTACCTCATATTATAATCAAATAATGTTCCAATTAGGGCCGTTAACCATACACAAAAATTAATAAAAAAAAAAAAACAAAAAACAAAAAATTGTACTTTTATACCAATTTGTATTATTCAATCGTTATTAATTTATTTGTAATTAATTAATTATTATGTTATGTTCTTTTTATATCCATGTTAAAATTAATTGAATCAATTATTTTTATTGTTTTTTGAGCCGAATGTAAGGCCGAATATAATTATAAATGTTATCATTATTAACATAAACAATATGAGTATGTGGTAAATTAGATGCACACCGTTCAAATAGTCAGGTAGTTCCCAACACGGATCGCTGACAAAAGGAACAACTACTTTACCGTAATAAATGCCGTGTTAGTAGTGTTTATTTATTTACATGGCTTATGGTATAACTTGTAAAAACAGATTGTAAATATAAATTTTTGCTCAATAAAAAAAAAAAAAAACAAAATGTAAAAAAATTCTCATATTTTAAATTATAATATATCTACTAATTACTCATATTTATATTTATATTTATTTATTTTATATTGGTGTACCTATAACAAAAATATATTCAATATACTTATTGTTAATTTACTCGATTCTATGTCTTAATGCATTATCTATTTATATTAGATTATTAACTAATGCATTTAAAGTGATAAATCTAACTACTATTATTTTTAATATTATTCTCACATTATATATATATATCTATTTATGTTTATTTATCTTATTATGTTCTAATGCATACTAAAATATCATATTATGTAGCTTAGAAAGTGATATAATAGCTATTTAAAATAAACATTCATTAACCTCAGACCATTGACTGTTTTATATTTTTCATAAATATTAAGTTTTTAACATGTTATATTTATACATTATTTATTATAGTGTCCCAATCAAAAATGTTTGGTAAATTAATTTAAAAAAAGGTGGGCAAGTGAGTGTCGCTCTGCTGTACAGTAGATTACAAATGGGTCAATGTAATGGCTGGTGTTAAATTTGAATTCAATGATATAATATCATTCTATAAGAAAAAGGATTCTGAGTGAAAAAGGTCAGTTTTGTTGTAATTCAAAAACGAATAACTGTAGATACACGAAAATGTCAATGAATATTTATATTAGCATTTACTATA